TAGAACCTTAAAAAAAAAAAAAAAAAAAAACTTATGGCTTTGTTTTCAGGTATCATCAGAGAGTCTTATATATTGATATAGATATCCATCATGGTGATGGTGTTGAAGAAGCTTTTTATACAACAGATCGTGTAATGACTGTATCATTCCATAAATATGGGGAATACTTTCCTGGCACAGGAGACTTGAGGGTAAGACTAAATTCTGTCTGAATAAATACTATGAGATTAACCTAGGTGGTTAGTAATCCTATACTTGAACTAATATTTTTCCTGAGTCATTAATTTGAAGCTTGTATGCAGAATTGAATCACTTTATATGCAGGAACATCTGCTACAATTCACTTTTGCTGGCTTTAAGCAAAAATTTAATGAGAACTTAAAGAACTTTTTTTTTTTTGCTCTGCTATATTCTTTGGTTGAATAAATATTTTTGTACATCTATGAAGCATGAAGCCCTTCTCCTGATGTTAAGTTTGAACCTTCAAAACTACCTGATGGTAGCCTTCATTGCTATTGATTGTAAAAGTTGGTGGAATAAGATAGACTAGGTCTTTTTAGGTTCCTCTGCTGCCCTCCTTTGTGATTGGTCTTGATTTTTAGTAGGTCTGATTTTAATCTTTTTTCTTTCCTTAGGCTTCTGAAATTTGTAGTGTATACTATTTAGGGAGAGACACAATACCATAGCTTAGCCCTGCCTGCCTAACATTAAGTACTATTTAGGGAGAGACAAAATACCATAGCTTAGCCCTGCCTGCCTAACATTAAGTACTATTTAGGGAGAGACAAAATACCATAGCTTAGCCCTGCCTGCCTAACATTAAGTGCATTTATTTCTATTACACTTCTGTTACCTTTTTCCATTTGGTACTCTTGTCTTTTATGAATGTGAAAACCACAGGTCAAATTCTTTTTCTATAAACCCATTGAAGATTTTGCTTCACTAGAGTGTTTTTGAACCTAACTACATGCATGTTGAAATTTATTCAGAAATTTAAGCACCTCTTTTTAGTTCAGCCTGGATTATATGGGGGATTTCTCATATCATGACATTCAACATTAGCTATAAATTATTTTATTAAGGTTATTTTTCACATCTATGGTATGTTGTTAAAGAGTGGCCTTAAAATATTCTTTAAATCTATGGCTTTTCTTTATTTGGTTGCAGTGTATTACTCTTTCAGTAACAGAGTTATGTTGATAAAATATGAAATGTTATTCTATGAATAATATTTGATATTTTAAATGTGTCCCCATAATTTTGTGAGAAAACTAAAATCAGTCATTACATTATATAATAATGTACAGCTGTATTTGGACTTTCTGTGAAACTCGTGTATATCTTTGAATATTAATTTGATAAACACTCCCTTTTCTCCCTAATTGATTCTAAAGCAGAAAAGAAGGTTACTCTGAGCTTAAGTCATTATTAAAATGCTGCTTGCTTTAGAGTAGTCTAGGTAGAAAAAATAAACAAAAGGGTGATAAAGTAGCAGTTATGGAATAAGAAATCAAGGAGATAAAGCTTGTTCCCACAAGGGCAGCAGCTTTGAGTTGCCAGCTAGGGGCAGCTAGGGTGAGAAATCCTGATCAACTTTCCATGTTCTGAAATTTTAGGGTCAAAGTATATTCCAAATGTGGCTCAACTCTACAGGAGTGTAGGAATTCACAGTACTTTAGTTTATTCACATTTGTATAGTTTGTATTTAGTTAATAAATCTTAATAAAAATTTAGACTTCTTTAAGAAAAATTGTGAGAGGCAGTGTATAATTAGAAATGTCTCTTATTCAGTCTTTTCTGGAAATATATATAAATATACATGTA